CACCACTCGCTACCTTTACCCCCACCCGCTCCCCCACTCTCATCCCCCCCCCACACACACCGGGCCGGGAGGGCATCTCCATTGGTCCGCAGTGACGACACAAAGGGGGGGGGTGGGGTGGTGGGAGCCGTGGACGCAGGAAGCCGTTCCCACCCACGGCCTCCCTGCGGTGACACACGCGCGCGTTCACGTGGCAGCCGTGATTCGCTGTCGCTGCTGCTGCTGCTCAACTGAGATGTGCGGCGTGATTGTGCTGTGTGTGTGTGTGAACTGACTCATGCATCTTAAGACACACACGCACGCACTTGCTTGCCGTATACCCACCAACGCACACACGCAATTGCTTCCTGCACTATGAACGGCTCTTGTGACATTTGGGATCGTCCGCATGTGGCACGGATTTTGTAAAAAAAAAAATACGGTTTCAAAGTTGAACCCCACGGGGCTTTTAGCCATTGTAGCAGCTATATGCAATAGTATGTGAAGTTTGGTTTTTAGCCCATGGTCTGTAGACTGGTAAGTGTCAAGGCTATGGTGATTGTGATTTGTGGCAAGTGTCACGGCCTCTATGTATGCGTGTGTTTTCTCCGGACACTAGTTTACCCCAACATGTCAAATATTAATGGCACTGTACTGACCAAACATCTCTTAAAATGTCTTAAGACTCGGTGATGCTCTCCTGGGTAAATAATTGGTACTCAATTGACATTTAATTTCTGGAAAATCCCACAATATCGGAACTACGTGACATGACACTGAAATGGGAACTATAAAAACCTAAAATCTCGTGATTATTAGGCGCTGTGTCATTTCTAACTGTTGCTATAGTATTCTTTGGGTCTTTCGGTAAAGTCACGTAGATAGATTCAAAGAAAATAACAAAAATAAAACTATGAATTCCTTCAGTCACGAAAGCTTTAAGTCAAGATTTGTTACTAATTTGTTGCTATAGTATTCACCATTTAGTGCTAGATTCGCATTTTGTCAAAACGTCTGCAACACATCAAACGCCTCGGCAATTTGTTGGTGACAGCTAGAGACGTTCAAACGTTTTTGTTACCAAAAAAATTGGCGAAAAGATGAATCTATCAACCTGAGAATATGGCTCATGCTCTTAATGTGCACATTAATAGAAAGTTAGTGTGCGAGCGGATGGAGTGGTGAATGACGTATACAGTAAATGGGGTCGGGCAACTCCTCGGGGGAGAGGATGCTCTTTAGACTCAGGGCTTCAGAGCGACTGACTAAGCAACTAAAGACTTGGTTGTGGGTGGGGGGATGGGTGGCATTAATACTTGAGGATAAGGGCAAGCGAGGTGGAGGGTGGCATCGAGAATGCAGGCTCAATGGGGTGCTATGAGGCTTAATAAAACAAATATATCAAGACTTCCTGGGAATATAGTAACCGTGGGGGTGGGGGGCTAGTTTTGAGACTCCACAGGGGTCTGGAGATTAGAAAAGTGGTGAAGCGGGCAGTGGGGGTGCTAAGATGCCCGTTGGAGGGGATGGGTGTATGATGTTAGGGGTATTTGGTGGGTGATAGTGGGGTGGCAAGGACGGCAGGAGGCCCGTTGATAGACACCGAATTTGGTCACGTGGATCACAGTGTAAGGCCGTATGTCCAGTGTAAATATTTATGGCGTGAAAAGTGAGCTATTGCCCTTGATCAATATTGATAAGGTGACCAACCCATGATCTCCACCCTCCACACATCAACAGTAGCCTTTGACGTACATAACGTAACATATTAATATATAGAGAGTTTGGAGGAAACAACCATCTTAGATTTCTGATAACATAGTCATCATAAAGGGAATGAACTGCAGTAAATTTTAGAATAACTTAATGTAAAAGGATGCAATATCATTTGACGTACAAAGGTTTGCTAAGCAATTGGTGATATCTGTTCGAGGGGCAACTTTATGTCTACGTCGGACAGCTGCTCAAGGCAGACTGGGATCAAAATGGTGATATGAGGCAGACGAGTCGGTTGGAGTGTTTTTGGGAAGCTGAACTTGATCATGAAAAGCAACATGCCGATGTGCCTGAATAAGAAATGTATGATCCGTGTGTATTGCCTATTATGACATGGTTGAAAATGACATCATAAAAACGTGAGAAAAGTGGGCTTGGGCAGGACACATAGCTAGAAGGGATCATGGAAGATGGACAAGAATGATAACAGAGCTGCAGCCAAGGAACGGAATGTGTCCGGAGAGGCCTTCCACGTAGGAGACACATCTATGAAATCAGTTCATGTGCAATTACTCCATGTATTGTTACATTGCAGGATCATGAAAAGTGACGATGGCTTGGGGAAGCCTTCGTCGAGCAGCATATTGATCATGGCTGTTGAGTATGATAACAGTCTGTCTTATCATCTTTTAAATAATTTGTCAAATGCGTAAGTGGTTGTCCTGTGGGGTGGAGGTCCTATCAAGAGTTTGTCCCCATTAAAAAGAAAATGGGATTTTCCACCACTGGCCTCAGCACCAATCAAGGAGACACTGACATTTTAATACTTGCATATATAATTTAAAACAGATGAAATTAGGTAACAAGTGTATTGTATTCATAAGTTACAGATTGTATCAATGTTCAAAACTTCAAACGTACGTCCCCAGTGAACATGTCCCCCAACTGTAAAAGTATTGTTTAATACATTTCACCTTCGCATCAAATTATTCAGAGTTTGTATACATGTAATATAACATATGGAAAACAATCCTCTTTTAATTATAAAAGGGTCTGCGGAAATGATTTGACCAAACCAAAACCTCCGTGGCAGAATGACATCGTCGCAATGGTAAAGTTGCGAGTTCAAATCCCGGTCACAGGTCGACTCAAGAAATGAACCCTTCCCGGGTCAATAAAATGTATACCACTTTGTGGGAAGAGACCAGCTTCAGTCAATGTGGACTTTCCACCACAGGAAAAGAAGGACCTCCAATGTAGATGATTGCCTAATGCTTATTTAGATTCGGGTGTAAGATTTTTGCAAACAACGAATCCCATAAACTAATATTGCCATACAGTATTTAACATTTAAATGTTCGTTGACCTATGGATAGACTCACTCCAGCCATATGAATGTAGAATTTTCACCACTGGCTCAGGGCTGTAAATATGAGATAAGCACTTCAATGCTCGTCTTCACAGGAAATCGCTGACTCTTTTGACTAATCTGCTTTGTATTATAGTTACAACACATTGTACGTAAATTATCAAGGTTCTCTTCTAAGGAAATGGCGATGTAATAAATGGCATTAATGGTGAGTATACCTGAACCTTGTCTGGCATGAGTCCCAGACATAAAGCACACACAGCAGATACGGGTGTGTGGAAAATCATATGAAATGGTTTTGACTGACAATGCTTCAAAGTTTATGCACGTGCTCCTGCCGTGTATAGTGTGAGTACAGACTTTAAGTGAGCTATTCGTGTGTTATTGCCATGGATAAATGTACCAAAACCCACCCACAGCTGCCCCCTATAAACACAGCTGTGAACATTTTCCACTCTTGGAGAGTCCCTCATGCTCACCAATATATTGCTTGGGAGTAAATGTGCTACAAAAGCACATTGGTTTTGCTGTAAACACTTGTGATGCAACTTTACTTTTTAAAAAAACATAAGTACTTTAATTTCAAAACTTACCAAACAGTTTATATTTTGAAAAAAATGCAAAGGGATGTCAATTCTGTGTATTAAAGCTTGTCACAGTATATGTGTCAATAACATAAATGTATCTCAATTGAGGTGTGCAGCGAATGGCTATTGTGAGAAGCCAATAGAGCTCTTTATTAGTTAACTCTTGTTAGAGTTCGTCGGGAAAATAAGTTGCATGAGTTTTTCTTACTGTTATAAGTGTGCAAATGGCAATACAGTACAGCCCTGTAAACGGAGCGTGTAACGTGATGTTCTACAGACACCCAACAGGGGGCACCACTGCCAAACGACTGCAAATTACAGCACATCCTTTGGAGGTACAGGGAAGTTGGCATGGATAATCTAATTGGAAGAGAGATCGTTCTCATTCTATCAAAGCAAAAAACATAATTTGCGACTACTTACGAATTATATAAAATCACGATGACATAAACACTTATTAAGTGGCTGATAACATCTTGAAATAAAAACCCAATGCAAGACCCTCCTCAAAATGGGTCCTGCAACCAAGTGTGGCTTTCCTGGATAAATAAGAAAGTCATAACATCCAACTGCTCCATGAAAAATGTATCATGAAATATGTTGGTTACAAAGCAGACAATGCCAGAATACAAAAGGCCATGCTATAAATTTCGATAGTGTTTTTGAGCATTAAACGCAACATTTTGGCTGTAACCCAAGGCCATTGAGACAGGTGAATGCAGAGTGCAGGGTGCACTATGCTGCCTTTTCACACCTTGGTGAATAATTTGTCACATTGCTGGCCAAATTATATTCTGAATATCCAAGTTTTTTATTATTTTGTTATCCCATGAGATTCTTTGCATCTTCCACACATGCCTTGATTCAAAGGTGAAGAGCAAATTCTCTTGTTGTTTTGTTAAATGCCAGCTATCTGGGACATAAGTAGCACATATATTACTACTCAAAACCCATCTCTTAGTACTAAAATTGGACCTCTCAACTCTTCCAAAGTTAGTTTATGTAACCGGTACTACCTACATACTGGAGTTTCAAATAACACACAATATGAAAAAGCACACAGCCTCTGTGCCACCAACAGTTCCTTAAGAAGTACAATCTTAAGTCACCATCACATTTGACCACGCAGATAAGTAATTAAATCCTCTAAAATCTCCACTTGTGATAAAGATGCAATAACCCCATCCAAAACCAAAAGGAATTTTAAGATTCATCGACCATGTGTCTATGAATGTAATTCATAATTAACACAAATTATATGTTCATGGAAGATATACTTTATATTGTGACCATCATTTCTGCGGAAGGGCTATTTTGTCTAAGTTCAGAAAAAGACATTCACTGCTTACCTGATAGTGTGAAAATGAGGTTTCTGCCAAGATGTGTCCTTGCGTCACCTCTGTTGAACCCACGAACCGAGCTCCTTCCATTGCAAACAAAAGCAAATATCACAAAGTCAGTGCTTCACGTACTATTTTCGATTAAATCACAGCCGTCAACAAATACCCCTCATAAAAGTATAGCTTACTCAGTAAGTGATAAATAATTATGTTAAATAGCCATGTAAAGGTTTCTCCCCTTGTCACAATTCAGGCTCACAACTAGAATCAAGAATTCAGAGATTTTTTTTCTCTTTCAAAATCATTTAAATCGCTTAAAAAAAGAAATTCAGAATTATGGCATTAGATGAATAAATGCCATTCGGATATCTGTAGCTAGCAGTGCATCATCTTGTGTTATAAAACGACCCCAGAAGGGGACACCGCAGAACAATTTTTGGGGTTACTTCGGTGAACCACTTTATCCATCCACAGGGAACACCTTTAAAATGCTAAGCAAATATTTTTTCATCGTATGTCAATTGAACCAGTGTTTTTTCCAATTATCAAAGCTGGAATGATCCAAATGATGTGGAAAACCAAATTTAACACGTATCATTGTACAGTATTATTGATTCCACCGACATTCACACACATAAGAAACCCACTTTAATCATGGGCGGCTCCTTATACTGTCACTTTCATATTGTTTCTCTTCAGAGATATAAAAAAACTACCACATTGGCTTCCTTCCTCTGTTTTAAATTAAAATTTCTGCCTTTGCAACGCAGCATATTAATAGTTTATGCAAGGCGCATCAATAAATAAATAAGTTAGCTGTTACTGGTGTCTAAACGCTCTCTGAAGCGTTGTAAATGCGGCATAGAGTTAATTAAAATTGACAACCACGAGCAGGACGCCTTCTCGCATTGGTGTGTCAGATGGCTGGGATGTCGCACGATATCCCATCCATTGCGAGTCACCTCCAGGAGGACTTCAAGCAGGGACGATTGACGGTATCAATCAAGGTCTGCTTATCAGCTATTTCTGCATTCCATGGCCAGATCAACAACATAAGAGTGGGGTCGACTCCAATGCTAACATGATTGTTGAGGTAAATGGCAATAAAAAGACCCGTGGAACCTGCGGTTTGCATTTTAGACATTCAAACACGATCACCATTTGAACCTATACCCAAGACCTCAGAGCGTTTTTTGATGCGATAGCTTCTTTTTCTGGTGGCCATCATGTCGGCCTAGAGAATCGGGGAACCCCAGGCACTGTTTGCACATCACCTATTCATGGACTTTAAGGTCAATATGGTAGTGTTGAGAATTTCTCCTCAATGCCAAGGGTCAATTTGCAGCAGGAACTACACCTTCTGAATTTGTCTGATGCCATTGTCTCCAACAGGCAAATGATGCTGCAATCACCTGATGAAGCTCGGGCACTCAAATTATACCTTCAAGAAATATGGATTGGTGAAAGCCCATGAAGTTATAAATGCAAAATGCTGCAACGTTGGGATCATGATACATATGAGCAAAAACATAGGTTCACAAAACAATGTAAAACATCCATTGGAGGAACACAACTGGAAAACACATCAGAATATGTTTACATAGAACAGTACCTAGGACAGGTATTAAAGGCAGACAAAAATCAATATGATAAAATAGAAATGTGGAACAGAGAAGGTTGGATTGCTGTTTGAAAACTGAACTCGATGTGAAAAGCAGAACACCAATGTGCCTAACGTAGAACATTTTAAGAATTGTATGATGCCTACCATGACATGTATCAGAAACATGGACAATGACAAAGACAAAAACTGCACAGTGATGCATGGAGAGAATTACACCGAGTAACATTAAGAGGAACACATGGATTGGGGAACAAACATATGTACATTACAGATACCAAATCGACTTTAAAAAAAGTGGTGGACAAGCACAATTAACAATTTTAAAAAACCTGAACACATTCGTTAATAACACTGTGGCCTTAACAGTAACAATATACAATAGGTGACGTGTTGGGCGATGGTCCTTATTCCTAGCACATGTAAGAAACCTTAGTGGGCATGGGCAGAGTACTTTTGCTGGAAGGGATGATGGGCAGTGGTTAATGGAGTGGCAGCCAAAGCAAAGTACATGCAATGATGTCCGACACAGAGATGGAGTGATGAAATCAGCTCGTGTACAGAAGTGAAATGGATTATTACATTGCAAGATCATGAGAGATTGTAAAGGCTTTAACAGGCTTTTATTCAGTAGTGGATAGATCATGGCTGATGATGACATATATATTTAAAACTGTCAATATACTGTTCATCTAGTTGGGCAAAACTGTCCACCAAAATAAGCTAAGGTGAATTCGAAATGTTTGTGCAAATACATTCTTTAGTTGTCACTTTTAGCCACCCCAAATCTGTCAAAGTTAAATGTGCAGTCATCCACAAACATATTCGGGCTGCAACAATGTGCCTTGTTTTGGCACAAGCTTGCCAACGGAATGCCAATACCACTGGCACACCCTTACAGTGTGTGGGAGCAAGCAACTATTTTAACACATGCAGACTTGTATTGTATAGCCAGGCTCATAAAATCTATACACACAGGGACGGCAGCTGTACATATTCGCATTGTATTTTTCAATGAGTTATTTGCACGCTGCTGCTCCTCTGCGATCTGGAATTAAACCGCAATGCCAGGCGAAAGTGCAAGAGGAGATAGCAATTTTCCCTCCGAGAGACAGGCTGCTATTTTGTTATGCACCTGTTGAGTTATCACAAAATAACCTGCAACTTTGACACTGCACTAATATACACTGAACCATATATATAATTATATATAAATGGTAATTATTACAGTATGCTTAAAAATATGTAAGTAACTACATGTTCACTTTTCATTGCATGGATAATACACAAGCACAGATTTGTATTGTGGTCAATGCAAACATGACTCCTTGTAAAAAAGGTGTCAGTTTTGATGCCAGATAAAAGGGTAAAAAAACTATTATCATACGTTGAATTGGTTCATCGTTTTGCTTCATATGAGTTGTAAATAATTATCAATGTAATGTTTAATTTCATATTCATGAGGATGTAACTTAATTCTACATTTTAGATAGTCCAGGCTTGGTTTCTTTGAATAATTAAGCCTTCAAAATGAGCTGTCAACCACAGATTTCCTATCATTGGCCCGATATATTTAAGCGAGTGTTTGTCAATGATGGCAACACATTATTATACTCCAACCAAACTGAAAAATCGAAAAACTTTTAAACCATTAAAACAAGGTAAGTATACTCAGCGAATGGGATTTGGAAGTCTGCCAGAACAGTCTAAAGGGGCATTCAGTGCACCGTCCATCTCCTGGCAGCTTTGATTTTTGGGATTTAATCACTACCCCCATGGGAGTACTGAGGCAACGTCTAACTTCCACACCTTGCCAAAGGTCGCCCACGACTTCTCCCACCATAATCACTTCCATTTGGAAAGCCACATGTTTTATCCAAAGTATCCAAGATAAAGCCGATCACTGTGTTAAAAACAATGGCCTTTTTGTGAGCAATACAACACTCACTCAGTGACGTTGAAAAATAGAACACTATTTGAAACATAGGTTATTACTGTTTTATTCTCGACCACTTTGCTTTAAAGAACTCGATTTTTTTCTTATTTATGTATTCCATATTTTTTGTTTCGTTATGTACAATACACCTACCGGTCTGCACACATATCTTGAGCTACTTGACTGTACTGTAAAGTACCTTCTAGAGATTGTCTAGCGTGACGTTAATGGTCACTTTATTGAGGGTCCTAACTTTATTTATTTTATCCCTTCATGTTACCAGGGAACATTGTTTCGTAGTAACTTGAATGCTAGCATTTCCATTTCGCACAAATCTGTCCCTAACAAGCACATTGTTCAGGAAACGGTTCATCTAATTTATTTAAGTATAAAAAATGTCAACCATTGTTTATCTTTTGACTTAAAACTTGAATGACTGCAGGAATTAATATTATTTGGTTCTTTCGGTAAAGTCACATACAGTAGATAAACAAATAAAAATAAAGTCAATAAAAATAATAATAAAATAATAATACTGTAGCCTGGTTCTTAATCGGAGTGAGTGTATGGGCAGTCTATAATGTAGACTGTAGCCTGGTTCTTAAGCTGGGTGAGTGTACTAGCAGTCTATAATGTAGACTGTAGCCTGGTTCTTAAGCTGGGTGAGTGTACTAGCAGTCTATAATGTAGACAACCTTTGGTGACCGTACCAGCAGTCTATAATGTAGACTGTAGTCTGGTTATTAAGTTTAGTTAGTGTACTGGCAGTCTATAATGTAGACTCACCCAGCTTAATAACCATTGTTACAGTCTACATTATAGAATGCCAGTACACTCACCAAACTTAATAACCAGGCTACAGTCTACATGAAAGACTGCCAGGACACTCACTCCGATTAAGAACCAGGCTACAGTACTATTTTTATTCACTTTATTTTTTATTTTTCTATCTTCGCCGAAAGAGCCAAAGATTGTTTATCTTTCACATTATAGTATGAGTAGCCAGGCTCACACAACTACATACAATACATAATCATTATTACCGTCATAGTGATATTCGTTGTAATGCATTCTATATCCACTTCTAGACAACATTGTCATTATGCTGATGCCAATACGAACTGTGCAGTCAACGTTCTCTCAAATGTGTCAAGACCTTCTTCCCATTGCTCAAGCTATCACCTGATCGATCATTGCCCATGTCGGTTCTTTGTGCTTTTTAGCCCTCGTAAATTATTTTCTGACTTCTCGTCTGATGGAGACTTAGAAACTGGGGTATATGTGTGGGTGTAAGAATGTAAATGTAGGGGTAGCAAAATAAATTTTGTGTCATAATTCTAATTAGAGTTGCAACAATTTGAACTTTTTAAGGGTTTTCAGCCGATTCCAGCGGTCATAGTTAATTCCACTAACATTATACTCTTGTTCGCTAATATTCTGAATGTTCATTTGCAATTACATATAAAAGGGCCTTGATATACCACAATTGGAATACGTAATTGCAAGGTGGTTGGTTAACTGTGGGTCCGTGTACAGCATTCTCACATGTATTGCAGGTTTTAAAACGTTGAGAGAATATCACCCAACCACCCACAATATCCATAAACTCACAATAATCAAATAACATGCCAACTATACTTGAAAACTACAATAATCAAAGGTGTCTCACAACAACACTCATCACATGTTTCATACAGGTTTTTTACAGAATGATATCCAACAAAAATAAAATGGTAAGCTGAAAGTGGAAGGTTTTCCCACTGTAACAGTCTTCCAAATGTTATGCAATCAGAGATGAGGAAAGAGCTGAGGATGAGGAAAGAATGGTGTTGGTGCATGCGGAGGGCCTTTGGAATTCCGTGGCAGGATTTGGGATTCAAGTGGTCATCGTAAAGTGTCGCACACCTTATAAAAAATGAGTATGGTATATCTGTAAGCTGTAGAAGTTATAGGTTACTAGAGAAAGGCATTGCAGTGGGCTCCGAGAAATTGGTGTCAACGGGGAAGACCTGAATCCAGATGGTTGGATACTTAAGGGAACACTGTAGTGAGTCAACTGGCTAACAAATGTATGATCTGCCAGATGGAAGGAATGGCAATGTGCAATGACATCAGTGGTATTTGGAATAATGACCTCTTCACCTTAAAACAAGTAAAGATCCGAGTCAATCTCTTGCTAGTACCATGCAAAACAAGTGAGTTACACGATAATGTGAGCAGTCTTATTTATTTTCTCATACAGTTATGTAAATAAAGTGGATGTTACATTGTCAGTATCGCATATGAATTTTCCTTATGTAAATATATTTTTAAGTTGTGAGTTATAAAATTATTCAAAATAGCAACATAAAACACTCTAGATTTGAAGTTTTCGTGACTGCAAGGACTCTTTGGTTCTTTCGGTAAAGTCACGGAAGTGAAAAAATAAAATAAATAAATAAATTCGCGACGTTTCGGGCGCAACACAAGCGCCCGTCATCAGGTGGGACAACCACAGCAAGAAGACAATTTCTGAAATGCTCAAGAGAGCTGCTGCAAAACAAGAGGTTAAAAAAAGTAAGAGACTTTACGTGACTTTACCGAAAGAACCAAAGAATATAAACATAAAACGCCCCTCTGTTGTCCGCAATGACTGGATGTGTCCACGAAGTAGGCAATGAGAGGCGGTGATTCCACTAACCTGGCGGTGCTGTAGAGTGCACTTGTGGGTCTGTGTCCACGTCTGCAGTGTAACAGGATGGGTCAACAAGTGGACATTCTCTGTGAACCTGTGGAGTGAGGGTGGGAGAGAGACAGGGCATTCGCAAAGGTAAATGAAACAGATGACTTCTCTTAATTTCCCAACATGCAATCATGTTCTTGTGACACTGTAGAATGTCAATTTATTTTTATATAAACCTTTTCCTATACTTTGCACTTCTATAATGTTCTAGTATTGTTTGTTGTTGCAACGTTCTGATCTGCGCCGACTGGACATCTGTGGAAAAAGAGCTTTATAGCTCATCGGATTCCTCCAGTGTAAACATTCTCATAATCCATTATATTTTTTCATGGGCAGGCGATATAGGCATACATTTGGCTCCATGGTTACTTTATGGTTACTTCATTTATGCCAATGCGGACTTCATGCTCATACATGCAAAAAAGAACAAAAATTTCCTACACTTGGCTAGGAGAGGCAAAAGATGGCTACTAGACACAATGCTATGATACAATGCAGAACATTTTGCCACTGCACATGTATGCATACATTATTATGTACCAGGACATTTCCATTAGATTTTTCCAGCCATGATAGAACATATGAAACCACTTTCTCAATATTTTGTGACGGTTGTTACCCCACTGAGCCTCCGCAAATTATATATCAAATTATCTCGCAGTGGCGAGTTGTTAACTACCTCACCCGGTATACAGGAGGTCATCGGTTCAATCCCGACCCTGACATCTGTATATTTGGAGTTTGCATGTTCTCCCTGTGCTCGCGTGCATTTTTGTCCAGGTCCTCCAGTTTTTCCCTCTACATTTAGAAATATGCTTTTAGAGTATTTGATTGCTATACATTTCCACGTGATAAGCCACTTCATTGAGCCAGGTTACTCATGAAAAATAACTATATAAGCTCAGTGGGCCTTACCTGGTATGATTAACAAAAAGTTTAGTTTAGAACTGGATTGGCAGTCATGCACAACGAGTAATGTAAAACGTATTTCACACTGTATGTAGCCAACCGTGCTAATTGAATTTAAGGTATACGACGTCACACTTCAGCCCTCCAACCCACCCTCCAGCCCGATGCACTTTTAAATCTATATTGAAAACTCATTTCTTTAGAACTGATTTTTGTGTTTAGTTAGTTGTCCTTCCGCCGCACCTCCAATTCGCACGGTTGGCTGCTTACGGTGCGAAAGAAGTTCAACATAATACTAAAACATAGGCACCATAGCTCACGCTATACCCAACTTCATGACAGTATATTACATCTGCTGTAGGCATGTAATGATTCATCTATTAAAATTGATAATAGAGATCACGACATATGCATCGCATTCTGAATGCAACAAATGACGATTAACTATACATATGCAAATGATATGCAAATGCTACTGTCCAGAAAATGCCATCAATGACACACTATAACCAAGCCAGAACAAAATAAGGCGGACACAAACAAATAAGGCAGACAATACAAATGAGACAAAAAATGTCTTCTTCAATCAAATCGTGACCCTCAATGGTGACCAATGTATTACTTGTGGGTGGAGGGAAAATGTGGGAATTGTTATAAAAACAGGCAGTCCCCGGGTTACGGAAGGGTTAAGTTCTCGAGAACGATCCATCACCAGAATTTTCCGTACGTCGGAAACTGAACAATTTTCCCCCAAAAATCAACGATAAAATCCCCATAGCCGGAAAGTTTTGCCTCCCTTTCCGTTTAATCTCAGTACAGTATCACGCTGTCGTCCGATTTATATCGTTACCTGTATCGTATCGCTGTACATACGCTCTGCACTGCCTATGAGTCTTTAATTTCGAGTGTCTACCCTAACACCACCCATTACTAAACTAATGGAACATATACTAATATCCAATTGTTTATGAATCCCACGTAACATTGGAATATGAATTGTTAACAGAAATCAGTCACTTCCTAATGTTCGTTTACCGTGCATTAATCTAGACCTTGACTTCACACACACATACACAAAGACAAAGGTAGAGTAGGCTCGTCTTGATAGAATAAATCGCAAGATTTGGAATGGCATCACATGAAAACGATATTATTTTAAAGATAAATTGTATGTCTATTTTATACTACCTATGGAAATACAAAAGTTTGTTAAAATAGGTTTATATTATCATATCATCCTATATTAGGGAGAAAAAAAAGTTTTGCTGGCTGCTTGGCACGCTAGTGTGCGGTCGTGACGTCACCCACATCCCACAGTGATGCATCGTGCTGACGTCACGCCCCCCCCCGTGCAAATGCGAAGGCAATAAAAATTCAGTATTCTATTACAAACTTAATTCGCATGCCAAATGTAATTTCCATAGATCCTTATAACACCAATTAAACAGTAAAAGTAAAACAAATATATTAATAGAAGCTAATATAAGTTTGCATCAAACGATTTATATAAAACCTTCATGTACTAATATTTTACACAGTAATTACTCCTTCAAAGGAAATATCTAATTTATATGCAGCAGGTGCAATAATGCATACATGTACCAATTAATAGATATTATTTAGGCTGATGATATATGCAGCAAATCTTATTTTGTCAGTGTTGTTTATGCATGCAATTATATGCACAGGATTTGTTCATGTTACATGTAGGCTACAAAAGTATATAAATATTACTAAAATAATAATGGATTCCCGAATCAAATGATGGCCCTACATCGTGACAATTCATCGAAACACCAGTGTGGAGAATCACTATACCTCAATATGCAGGACATTTGTGTAAAATAGTATGTATCATATCCAACATCGTTCTACTTATTTACCCATTAAAGCCATACCGCGTCCAAACACTCTTTCAGCAGAGTCCTGCATCTTTTTTTTATATATATTAGATGTTTTCAGTCAATTGTTGACTGTTTACATATATGGGAGGAAACCAGGACACCTGGAGAAAATCTTGATTTGAAGCTTTCGTGACTGCAGGAATCCATACTCTTATTTTTCTACCTACGTGACTTTACCGAAAGAAACCCCAAATGTGTGAAGGGGCAACACTCTATCCCGTACAGACAGGACAGAAGGATGAATCGACACTTGCTGTACCAGACTCTCCCCCAGGAATCCACGGCGATTGGCACCATCAATTCCCACGGGGAAGTTTTGCAATATTTGTGAGATTCACTCACGCTTGCCTCCACAAGGCTGGATCACAAGCGCATGCCAACAAAGACATGAATGGCCATGATTTTTGCTGTGATTATTAAATAATCATCAAACATTTTTGTGTGCAATGTAATCCCAAGTGTTAATTTCACCAACACCTTAACGACCAATGTAATTTGTTTGTTCCACTCTAAGAGACTTCCTGGTATAAAAACAAGTCAATAAGTAACAGCGCACAATTACTTTTTAACTTGTCAGCTTACAGACTACATTCATTTAATCTCTCTCGCGGTAAATTACCGTACATGTGCCAAACAATAGCCACCATTATCACGGACTGTCTGCAAGAGTGGAAAAACGGAAATCTACTTTGTGATTGACTTAGATGGCTACATTTTCATCGTACTCTAACTGGCAAAACACTCAATGATAATGTTACCCTCTATAATTTACATTCTGTGCTTAATATTTAAATATTCTTACAAATTATTATCATTTGCCTCTTTGCCAGTATTCGGTATTATGAAAACTTCAACTGGCACTTTCACGTATTTGCACTATACTGTAACCATCTCTGGCACTTACGGAGAAAATGACCAGTGTTGACCTCCGTACTAGGCATGCTTATATAAGATGATGACTTTTCCACCACTTCCATGTGACTCATTATCCATGGGAAAATGTAAATAGAAAGAATGAATCCACAGACAATATGACTGTCTACGGCTCAGCCCTGGACACACGATAAATTCGTAGTGGAGTTTGGGGCTTCATAAGAATGCCACTTTATATTACGCTATGATTACAAAAAAAGTTTGGCTGGCTAGCTGGCGTGCGGACAGGTAAGTGCGTGGTGGTGACTTCACCAAGCGCATCTGTGTGATACCCTCATATGCATCCCACAGCGTTGAGCCAGGTTCGTGCATCGTGCTAACATCACGCCTCCCTGCCGGTAGAGTGAGCGTCCAAAGTCAGCGAAAATGATCGAGAAGGGGGGCGTGGTCTCGGTTGATATATAAGGGAGATGCGTGGGAGACTCGGGGCTGTTGCAATGGGATCTTCACCTGAGGTCAAGTGAAGGTGTCTTCAATAATGTGCCATCTCAAGAGAAGTGTGTCAAGTCGTCATTACATATTTATCATACTCTATTGGCAGAGTTTCACCTTTAAGACCATCTAACATATGTTTAAAAAAAACATGCAACCATTTTCAGATTGCACATGTCTATTTTAATGCTAAATCCTAGTTACATTGTATATGTACTGCAGAGTATTATTGACTTTGACATTTGATATATTTACACTGCAAAAAAAAATACAGAGGTGGATTAAATACTGTACACAGTATATGGTATTGTCAACATGAACAAAGGTTCATGCACGTGACACCATAGTCAAGCACAGTAGAGCATTGCAACATCTACAATTCATTAACAAATAGTTGTGGAGGTGACATGGCCCAGTGGCAGCCAATTCACCGCTTGTCCGAGTTTCACAGTTCAAATACAATGGCCGCCATGCTTGTTACTGCCGGTGTATTATTATTAAGTGGATGTTAAAGATTCGGTGACTTTATTTGCAAGAGCAGGGCACTGTGTGCCAAAAGCATGGTCCAAATTTGAAAAATGACCGATAAATGACTCAATTGGAATTATAGCAATCATTGGCCCGACTGTGAAAACTTGACAGGATCCTCCTGAATAAGTCACATAGAACTCAGTGATGCTTTGCTGAGTAAACAAGTGTAAATGTCGAACACATCAGCCACAGTAACTCGGTCCCAAGTACAGATGCACCATAGTAACTGATCAACAAAAACAACTAGACTTTATATATATAAAAAGACCTACTGTCAATGTTAAACAATTACTCATAATGTCTCACCAGCAGGGTTGGGCCATTTTAAAAATCTTATTGTAACCACATTTCAATGGAATACTGACGTGCGTATGTGCAATACATTTTTTCTATCGTGGTCATCAATACAGTGTTACTGAGGAAGTATTTTTTCATTAATATTGGGCCAAATAAAGCAATTGTGATCATTTATGTGTTTTTGGGAATTCTAGTGTGATATTCAGAAATGTAAACATATCCGCTGAGTAATGTACTGCAACACAAATTAAGGAATTCAACAATATATTATTCAATATTGTAGTGAGAAACAAAGTGAACGATGTCATGAATCACCAAAAGATCAACTTCCAGTAACACAAGTTCAACTCCTGGCCACGCACATTGGTAACAATTGATATACGACACAGATCTGTGTAAAACCCTACATTAAATTAACTTGAACCTGGCACAACAACTGCTAATGCACCATGCCATTCCAAATATGTGCTGACAGTCGTCGCCCCAACGGTTTGTCCAGGCCTAAAAGTAATATCCAGCAGCATTACCAGAGTAAGATTATACGAAGTACCGAAATTCATAAAAGTTAAACGCTTTCGACAGGTTATTCACAGGGACGTTAAAATATATTTTCCAAAAATTATTTTAGACTAAAAAGGCAAAAATATCCATGGAGAAAACATGAACACATCCGATTTGCTGATGAAATGGTAATTATAATGTAGAATTGTGATGAACCACAGGAAATGTTAGAAGAATAAAGGTAAAAAAAGTTGGGCTCTGGATAAATGAGCAAAAAAAGGTCATGCACAAAAAAATTACTCTAAACAATTGTAAATATCTGTCAGACAGACAGACCTGTAAATTTCAATTTGTGTACATGAAACAGCTGTTGAAGGGAGATCAACATCGAAATGATGCCATAGAGAGGTGGATGAGAACAGGTTGGAGTGCTTTTGAAAAGCTGTGAGAATTAACATAGCATTGTGTCTAAGTGTTTAACCGGCGTATACTACCTGCCATGACACATTGTTCAGAAACATGGCGGTAATTAAAAGTATAGAAAGTATGAAAATGGAAAAAGCATGGAGAGATGCAATTATGGAATTACATTGACCGGTGGATGTAGGAAAACGTAGATTGGAGAACATAAGCAGCTTAATGACATAATTTAAACCGTAAGGAAAAGTAAGTGGGCTTGGACAGGACATGTGTCACTAGAAGGAATGATGGGCGATGGTCAAGATAAATAAGTGAAAGCCAAGAAACGGAACTTGTCTGACAGTACATTCACCAAGGAGATGGAGCGATAAAATCAGCTAATGTGCAGGTCCCAAGTGGATTATAACAGAGCAGAATCAATAGGTAAAGCGGTGGCCTGCAGAAGCCTTCAATGGCTGATGATGACGATTGCTATAAAAAAAAGAAAATGCTCAGTCACTCACAATAGTAAAGGCTATTATGATAATGTATGTGTGTCCTAACAGCAACAGTACGATTTCTAATTAATAAAATCTGCAATAAAAAATATATAAAGAAAATTGTAGTTTTGTAGTTTGATATAATTAGCTGATCTCTGTCAGACCCTCTAACTCCTAAAGGGAAGTTGTCATACAAGTTACACACATTTTCATTTGTAGGTGAGTGATTGTGGAGTTGTAATATCTCCATTACAAACATGTAGAGTAACACAACTTATCCACGGAACATCTACATTTCCTGCAATCCTCAATTATCCTATAAATGACAGCATATCCATTCCGTTATCCGCATTTAGCCATATTAGTGCTGAAAGAAGTCCATTTTGTGAAAGAATAGAAATAATAGGATTCACCAATAAACAGGGCCTCCACATCACCAAGGCTGAGTAGAAATGCATTGCATTCTTAGCTGAATTTGAAACTGGTCGAGTGGCCACATTTGTGATCATTACAATACCCAAGATATATTAAGAGTGAAAACCCCAGCAAGAATGCGAAACATGGACTGTAAGCGCGCAACAAAGCCTGCACATTCAAATGTGAACATGTTGACAAGACCACCGATTGAGAGGTAAACAGGAGAGGTGTCGGTGCTTCCTGGGGTCCGTGTCCCTGCCACAGCTCACCTTGACCAGCACCACGCCGCTTGGGGATCGTTCTGAAGCAGACCTCCCCAGCATGTACTGCCTCCGGCGTCGTTTATCTTGCCACAGCATAGCTTTGGCCATGCTCACAGAGCCAAATCAAGGCACAAAAAGTCTGTACACTCTCCACTAAATCGACCCAACAACTGCCCTGCCCCGAAGAGGAATTAAAATAATGAAATGAAAGTTTTTTTTTCCCACTGACTTAATGAGTTGTCTCAAGTTTCGTTGCCACAAAAAGTTGTTTTTGTTTTTAGCCCAAAACATTTGTTTTAAAATGTAGAATTCCGATTTATTTTCAGATACTAAATATTGTTTGGTAAACTATAATTGTCAAGTTCCAAAACATGAAATGGTCTTCGCTTTTTTTCTATGTTTTTTTATAACACAATCACCTTTCCCTGAAATGCAGGTCTATGCGGTTAACATCTGTTGCTTATCTGAAGGAGAATGTTTTACTTTTCCAAGATAACAGACATGCTTCCATCGGACGTACAGCAATATCTCACTGTGCTTCTCCCCGGGCAGACCGGCGTGTTTGTAAAGATATCCATAGCGACAAGGTTGACTCCGATGACGTTGCCTTTGCTGTGCTATCAGCTCTCCGAATGAATAACCCACGAGATCAAATAAAAACCCTCAGCTCAGCAAACGTTCCCACATCTACAGAAATCACCGTGCGAACTGAGCCCAAGAAGTGTTGAAGATGCCTCCTTGCAAGCAAGCAGCTGGCCACGTTGTCAAAGTGGATCGAGAGAAGGCTGTGATTCGCGCAGAGGTCCAGTCGTCGCCTGTCACGCAGAGCCTGAGTGGACACAAGTGTGCTCCGGTTGAAGCCTCACGTCAGCTAAGCCGTTAGTCCTGTTACTGTTAACGTGGAGGAAGGCTGCACATCGTGCAAAGCGAGGGTGACGTGTGTGGTGGTGGTGGGGGAGGGCTTGCTAGTGCAAACTTCCTGAGTCTTGATCCCTGCATGATTGGCCCCAGTGAGGCTCTCACTTTCTCAAGAACTTCAGTGCTGCCAGATGCTTTGTTTGCGAGTAAAGCAAGCAACGAGCGTTGTGCATGCGTAAGACGAATGCTTCTGAGGACACGGTGCAGTGAGATTTCTAAAATAAAAATGCCCAAGACTTAAATAGCAGCCCTTTAAAAAAAGGTAACAAATTATATTTTTTTTTACAAAGTGTAATGTGTAACTTAACAGATGCACCAAACTAATTGAAATGGGCATGATCCAAACACATTTGTTTAACTGGCTTTAAACATAGGCAACCCAGAGCAGAGCACTGCGTTTAGCGAGAAAACACATTACTGTGGCTTTAGCACACAGGCACTTTAGTAGTAGCACTGTCTTTTTAAAAAATGTTATGCTATGGAACTGACATTTTTATACCCAGCTGAACAAATATTTTATCAGCAAAAAGGACAGCGCTTCAAACTCGATAAATATATACAAGATAACACCATCAAGTTAAAGCAATGGTAAAGACAACATGAGCTATGTACGCGCAATTGCGTACGAGAAAAGTATCCGCATTCAAGATTACTAATCCCCATAAAAAAAATGTGTGCCTTAACAAACATTCAACCAACGGCTCGTGGTGAACGAAGTACTTGTAGACATGAACAATTCACCGTCACCTAACACACTACAGAAACAACATTCACGGAAAGACCTGAAGATGTACAGACACTTTTAAGAATACCAGTGCTGTGAATACACATTTCACAATGACGAGTGGGTCGAATGACAACACGAAACGCTGTGTCCGCGTGACGTTTAGTGCGATGTTTATTGTGATGTTTATTGTGACGTTTATTGCGACGTTTATTGTGATGTTTATTGTGATGTTTATTAGACTGCTGTCACGGGTGTGACTACAGACACAGCGCAAGAGTGACACCAGTAGTAACAATTTGTAGTAATTTAGACATAGCAAACGAGTAACATGGGTTGAGGCGTGTTTGTTTACGAGCATAGGCACCTGAACTTTAGGGGACTTGTGCCATATTATTGCCACCTCTTCCGCAAATTACACAACCCTTAAGTTAGTGAATATGAAATGTGTATCATCTTTGGAGCTGTGGAGAGTTAATGGTTAACCCTCTAGCTCAGCTGATGAGAATGTAAAGTTGACCAATAATGAGCCGTTCTAGTCACGTGGAGAAAAGGTTCAATCTTACTGTGAACCTATGGTGGTGTAATTGATTGGCATGTCAAAATTGTAAGTATTTTTTACATAGAGACATATGAAGGAGAATTGTATGCATATCCATTGGCTATTTATATTCTCCACAAAGATACTAACTGTTGTGTGTCATGTGTTATATAACTTTGTGTCTTGCCTATCACATCTGGCAGTTCACCAGCATTGATTGAATACAAGCAAACAGTTGACTGGTTTCAACATACAGTGTCTAAGCAGCAGTCAGGCTTACTTGAATCAATGCTCCTGAAATGATGCACTCCCAGAAGGCGGTGGGGCCGATGGGTTGTGTAAAATATAATTTTATTTTTATGTGGAGCGACAGATGTGTTAAGAAGACATTGCCTGCTTTTCTCTTTTGCTACTTATATTCTTCACAATGCCACAAATTGTGTTTTTTGAGCGATGAAAACATATCAAAGGTAAATCAATTGATAGACAATGCAGTGAGGATAAGCAGAGTGTGAAATGTAGTTTATCATAGTGTAATGGTAATAAAGCAGTGAGTCTGTGTTTTTTTTTTGCAATTCCCAGGAGTAAACTGTAAGTGTGGTACCATTGAACACATTATGACTCGAGAGGCTGTCACATGATTCCCAGGTTCGATGAAAATCGCCCCCAACCAAAGAAAAGTAGGAACAAATATCGGTTATCAAAATTGTGCAGACAGTCTCTATTCAATAAAACAGTGACTTACTTTTATCTTACACAATAACCCCACAATGTTCCGCAGATCAGAACAAAAATGAAAAAGGCTTTGTGTAAGACTGCTCATAACGCAGAATGTTCAATGGTAAGATTAGCTCGGCAGTGGTGGCGATGCACGTGGCACTCTGGAAGCGAGGTTTGTTGGATCATACAAATGTTGTGAAACTCCCTTCCCGCGGGCATCAAGGTGACATACACTGGCTCACCAGGTGAAGGTGGTATAGCAAATGTGGACCCCACCTGTTCTATCTGTATGGGATTAAGTGTTGCCCCCTCACACGTATGGGTTTTCCCCAGGTGCTCAGATTTCCTCCCACATGTAAACAATCATTAATTGGACAATTACACCTTAATATATAGATGATTGCAGAGCTTGGAGGGAGGGGGGAATTTAGTTCCGGATCACTACGTAGCTTCTTTCACCACTCGTCTGTGGTTCCCCGCTCCTCTGAATCACTCTTCTTGAGAGTGAGCGAATACTGTGCACGTTACAAATGGAAATTATTTAAAATTTGTAATGGAAACATATCACAAACCACTATATGCAGCTTGTCATCTGGATACAGTATTCATATTTATTATTTTTTTACACGTATTTACAGTGGAGATACCGAATTATATATCTATTTTCCTTTTTCCAGCAATAGAATAATGCGTGTGCTTGCTTGCTTACAATGCCTGGTGATGATACACTGCTCTGCTTCCAAAATAACCTAGCTTAGTAGTTTTGTTCAAATTACAGTACAGTATGAAACCTCATTACCATGATGATGTGGGCTGTTCCAAAAAAGAAAGTTTGCTGATAAAAAAAAAGTTCCCTTCAGATAGCAGACTGCTTCGATCTTCTGCACAACACCTCTGTAACTTGCGGACGGTGGCACTGCTGCCACGTCACACACGTGACAAGGCAACAGGGCGTCCACCAACAACCAAAAATAAACAGGGCCAACAATCAGCTAAACTAATACAATGTCATCAGACGTCAAGCACTTACTTGCCATTTTTTATCTGCAATAACGCTATGGGAACTTAAATGAAAGCAATTAAACTCCCTTTGTCCTGTAACGTCCACATCACAGAGGGGCTCCACACCAGGAATTGCGGATCAAAGCTACTCTGAGTAGAGCAATAACTGCTCTACACTATTTTTCTTGTTGGAGACCAAAAAGAGTTGTGATGTAACCCAATATCACTGTTGTGTTTTTAACTTCAAGGATATTTGTTTTGTTTGGGTCCATGGCAAAGAACAATTCACAACAAACTCTATCTATAGTATTCATAATATAGAGCTGATATGGCACAATGGACTGTTAGAAGTCGCTTGATTCACTGAAATAGCCTTTTCTTTTTATGTGTCAATTCGTCAGAAATGTATGAACAAAAAGAATAACAGGAGAGTATTTGGTCTCCATATTAAGATTCACAGATGACAAAGAATAGTGTTACTGTACTTGTTATATATACAACCTATGTCATGTGTGTGATATATTGCAAATCGGAAATTAACTGCTAACCTACCCCGATATCCTCATTGTTGTCCTGAATTTTCACTAATACTACATTTACACAATCCCTTAAAAGTGAGTCGGGCCAAGTTTATGAACTAGGAAAGTGGGTTCTGCCCGGATTCCCACACCAACCTCACTGGGTCATGCCAGCTCCACCCACGTAGAGTTCCCTTCTAAGTGGCAGAGTAGCTCATTTGCCAAAGGGAACGAGACACGTTTAGATGGGCCACCCATGTAAACAGTCATGATGTCACTGGATCAAAGGTAAAGAGAGACGCATTGTCAATAGTTTTGATATCGTGTAATACAACCCAATAATACGTTAAACGATGTTTTTATGTATGATGGCTGACCTATCCCTGTGGATCCAAATGTCCATAGAGCAATGGATCAAGAATCGAGCCATGCTTATACATTCCCAGAACGACCCACCACGACTTGGGTTTGATTTCTAATGGCCAACAGTTAAACCACTGCACCAAATGTGATAAGCACTGCATTGTTTTAAAAAGTCTTGGTCTATTTTCCACTGTTTTGCCTCATGCTTTGAACTACTTTTGCTATTGAAATAATATTTTTCAGAAAACATACCACTTCAGCTTCATAAAAAAGAGTATTGCATACTTTTACCATTATTTTTCAGGCCACTAATGGTAATCATGGAATATAATGTTTCATGCCATAGGCCATGTAAATTACTTACCATGTTAAGGGAATGATCAAGGGTTAGTGACAAAAAAACCTTCCACAAAGCTTTCAGCAGTTAGGAAAGTGGCAATTAATGACAATTTGAAATGAGACTGAAATATATGCTTATGTTTTCTAAGAAATACAACAGCACGCATTTTTGTACCAATAAACCATCTCAGTAAAGAATAATGTGTGACTTGCTTCATACTATGCATTACTCTACCATAGCCCTAAGCTGGCATTCAAATAAAATAAATTGCAATGATTTAACCTTATCAGACATGCTCATCTCCATCATCCACATATTACAGCATCAAAACTCCCCTACATGTATGACCTGCTGTAATCCCTCGTACAAGTTATCCTAACCAGTGTTGAATTGAGGACCACTAAAGGCAGGGATTCTGATTTGCATTTTCCTTTGCGGCCAACTGCCACTGTGCTCCTCCTGCAGACCCCACCATGGTGAATGGTGGTGGGGTGTGCAGAAACACGCGTTTACATTGTTTCGATTATGTGGCTGCTATAAATTACCACGTGATAAGCCACTTCATTGAGCTACTATTCGTGACCAGGTCGCTTCTGAAAGAAAAGCGAATTTCTCAGTGGGCTATACCTGCGATTTGCTTACCTTCCATATACTTTGCACTCATTTCGTGTTTTTCGTATTGGTTGTTGTAACGTTTTGACCCCATGCCCCTACTGGACATCTGTG